GTAGTGATAGATGTAGCAATCCCAAGCGATAGCAACATCAGGAAGGAAGGAAGGAAGGAAGGAACACGAGAAGCTTGAGAAATACCAAGGGCTGAAAGAAGAGCTAGAAAAGATGTGGAAAGTGAAGGCACAAGTGGTCCCTGTGGTAATAGGAACAGTGGGGGCTGTGACCCCCAAACTGGGAGAATGGCTCCAACAGATCCCAGGAACAACATCTGAGATCTCTGTCCAGAAGAGTGCAGTCCTAGGAACAGCTAAGATACTGCGCAGGACCCTCAAGCTCCCAGGCCTCTGGTAGAGGACCCGAGCTTGAAGGAAGGAAAGACCGCCCCAAAGTGGGGGGCGAGTGGGGTCAATTACTATCATATACAGAATTCCTTCAAAAGTTTGGTGTACCAGTCACATCATAAGAATAGGCTACTGTTATTGATGCAATTCCCCTGGTTCTCTCCAGTTTAAAAAAAAAAAAGTAATTGCAAATGAGATCTACATGTATTTTAATCAATGATATTGATATCCAGAATAAATTATGGCTCAACAGACACATTAGAAACACTTTGAATTATTTTACACCTTCTGCAACAAAATTCCTTATCATGGGTGATATGAAAAGCTTGCTCTATCCAGCATAGTTATTGCATCAGTAATAAGATAAAAGCAATTTTGCACTGTTTGTTGCTTACTGCTTATTTTGTTATATTACACAGCCTCATGCTGGTTTACTGTTTACTTGCCCCTTGCATGAGGATATGTACATACACATTGAGAGCTGATGTACCAGAGTCAAATTCCTCGTGTGTCCGACACACCTGGCCAATAAAACAGATTCTGATTCTGATTCTGAAATATGTTTTAAGGTTTTACATCATATTTACCCTGCAAAAGAAGTGCTGGAAAGCTTTAACCTGAACATTGATTATTCTCATGAGTCCTCTTAATTGCATAAAGAATCAATATTTCATTGCTTTTTTTCACTGTATTTATTCTAATTTGTTTTGGATAGAAATGCAGACCTTTATTAAACAGTGATGTAATGGTATATTTGATGTAATGTTGTATCTTGTGGACTATGGAATGAGTGCAAATATATCTTACATAATTCAATTACTCATCATTTTAGGCAAGTTTCATATCAACAAATCAAAATGGACTGATTCCAAACCCTGCTTTCATTGTTTGACTGTTGAACTTAAACAATATAACACCTTAATTATAAATATGAAGAACAAAATGCAAAGACTTTCAGTATTTTTGAATGAATATAACTTAAATTAATTCTATGTAAAAAGCAAACTTTAATGTATTGAAGATTCTCTAGGCTGCCCTATTTTATACAAAGTTTTTATGTTTGTATGAATGCTGTTTTTATGCATTGTTGTAATGTTAAATGCTTGTACCTTTTTTGTTTTAAATAAAGACATGAGGAAAAAATGGAAACGAAATACATACTTAAATACAGTCGTGTGCGCCACGCGCTACGACCCGCCTGCTTCGAATATGACGTATAGGACTGCCAATCACAAGTGAGTATGGGCGGGAGTAAGGCTAATGACGGCGATCTGTCGCAATGAGGGAGCGTCTCTGTGTGACGTCAACATATATAAGACATTTCTGCCGCAGTTTCTGTCTTTGGAATTATGTCGGCTGAATATGATAATAGGTAAGGTATTCTTTGTCGTTTTGTTAGCATGCTATATTTAAAAATTTGAGTCCCTTGCTTAGATCGATACGTCGGCCTATTCTATGGATTATTGCTAGTGACGTAGACATTGAGCAACGCATCCCAGTGTTTCTGTTCTTGATTAACCCTGAGGCCTGCTTATAGCATAACTCAGGCTAATATCTCAGTTGAAATTACGTTTCATAAACACGTAACGTTACTGTGAACTCGGATGTTAGGAGTTTGAAACCCAAGTTTATAGTTGGCTTCCTAAAATACAAGGGAATGGGTTTGCCGTTGTAACCTAACTCGGTGAAATTTCAATGGCAGCCGGCGTCTTGGGTAGCACGTGAAAGAGCCTCATCTAGGCCTCAATTTCTATTTCCGATGCTCTGGGTATTATTAGTTCAGTGTTAGTTGTAATGAGGTATTGGAACAGCGAAATTCGATGTTCTGACGGTAAATGGTCAGCGTCTCTCGAAGTTCACTGTGTTTATGTAAATAGTTTTGTTTGTCTTCGTATGATGAGCGCACATGGTCGTAGTATTAATCGGGCGGCTTGGACAATAACCGTAGCATAGGCGTCAAAGTGCACTTTCTTGCGGCGTTTACCTCTTTTGGTGCCACTGGCAAAGGTATCCTGCCATCATCAAGCTAATTCCTGGTTTCTGCCCTTGTGATATTGTAAGTGGATTTCGCTGATTTGACAAGTCTAACAAAAGGGAACATAAATGTGAGCTAGGCCTTTTGCTGTGGCGGGCCGTTATCTAGATGTGCGTTTATGTCTTCTTGCTGTCACCAATTTTCTTTGGAGACGTATAAAATCCCTACTTTCTAGTAGGCCCATGTTGATTTGAAAGTAATTTTGTAGACTTAATTGTAATCGGCGTGTTTTGGTCTGTCCGAGCCCTGACTTCCATCTTGAAATGAATGTAGTAGAAATGGCGGATTTCTGAAAAGGCGTTTGTTTTCTAGGCCCAAGCGTTAAGTGGCAAATAGAAAAGTTTGAATCTACCATCCAAGAAAATAAATTGCCATGTTAGGAAGAGGAAAAAAGGTCCAGTAAAACCTGTAGTGTTTGAGCAACTTTAATGTAAAGAGCAAACCGTTTTCGACAAGGAACCTTTGTCAGGATCTGTGACGTTAGAGGGGAACATTAACTCACGAATTATCCTTAAGAACCTCGCGAGAATACACTCGAGCCTCTTTCTGGTGGATGTTTCGCAATATCAGCGTTAAAGGGGCCCTTCTTTATTGGCTCTGCATATTTATACTGAATTTTGGGGGGCTGTCAGCATAATGCGTCCTCCGTTTCATTTTTTTCACAAATAAATAATCTTAACTCTAAATTTACAACCAAAACTAAAGTTTGTTACAAATCCCAGACACTTGTGATGCAGGATGCTTGGATAAATTAAAAATGCAGGTTTTCATATTGAAACGGTCTCTTGTAGATTATATTACTGTCATTTATATAATAATGGACTTGTATTTGTAAAAAAAAAATTTAAAAATAGTCTTTTCTTCTTCATTGTAAAAGCTCTACCAAAATCTAATTTGAAGGGGTGAAGAGTGGCTTAAAAAAAAAACAGCTTTCTGGTGAAGTATTTGTATTTTTATAAAGAGAATTTACCAGTGCCGCACACATGGTCTAGAAATGTAAGAACTGTCTGGATCACTCCTGCTCTTAAACACACCTCTCCAGTCCTGCCAGTCTTCTAATCATCGCTGCAGGCATCTGAGCGGTGCTTTGGGCAGCATTCTTGCTCTTCGGCAGTAGTATCCATGTTTGTCTTAATATCTTTTGTGGACCTACACGTAAAAGTAGCTGATCTTTAAAATACAAGTATTCCGCAGATGGTCATAATTGTCATTAAATTCTGATCGTATCCCAAAAAGGCATATTGTGCCATCCCCAGTCGTTTATAATAATAATAATAAACCCTATGCAGAGTCATGTAATTGAGATGTTTGATATTTCAGAACATTCTGAAATGGTAACGTCAATACTTTTGCATTGGTGGGCCACCACTGCATTTTTTGTTTATCACCAAATTTAGCTGGTCAGGCCTAGTCAAATAGCTGTGTTCATACGTGCATGTTAAATTCAAGTACTCAAATTGCTGGCCAAGGCACAGTCAGGATGACAGGACTACAGTATAATGCGTAACATTTCCGCTTCACCACTTTGTTCTCCTTGCCACTCTGATATATTTTGGGCATAAAGATAAAAAATGTGACATGACATAACTGTACGCCTTCAAAATAAGCTTTCTGAGAAGAGCCGGTTTAGCAATGTGAGCTAAGAATGGCTGGAAAGTGGACTGACATGGAAATCAAAGGAATGTTGTGGCTGTACCCAGTTGGGTCCTGCTAAGTTTGGACAAAGCCTTGTTGGGAACAGTAGCTCTTTCTGAACATCCAAAAACAACTACTACACATTGCCTTCAAATTCCCGGGTACCATGTTTTAAA